ATTGGGTTATTCATTTCTATTATATATTTTTCAGTACAGAATTTCCACTTGTTTGCTTTTATACTTTCTACTTTTCTGCCCAAATTATCAATTTCTATTTATCTTCTTGAACATAATGAAGGATTTGATGACTACCATATCTGGGGTTCTTTTGGGTCCTTTTCAGTTATCTTTTGTTGCTGCTGGTTTTGTTTATGTTATCTTGCCTTCTAGTATGTGCGATTATTTTTGTTGTTGTTGACTGAATATTGTATTTGCATAATTGTTCATAGAAATAATTCAAGGCCTAGGATGATAATGATATTTTTAACCAGAGAGGATTCACTTTGTTTTCTGCCAGATGTCTGGAGGCAGCAGTGCTCTGGGGTCACTTCAATACAATTTTAGGTTTTGAGATGGTTTGAAGCTGCGTTTTGGTCTCTGTAAGTACAGCTTGTCTACTCTATTCGCCTTTGCTTTTAGGATGCAGTCATTTGGGATCCCAATCCAAAGAGAGAATTGTTTACTAGGTGCTCTCCTTCTTGGCAGGTTCTGGACTCTAGTCGCCGTTTCCCTAACTCTCCAAGGGTGTTAAAAAAAGCACCACTTGATCTCTTAACTATCTCTCAGGAAATGCTTCACCTAGAAAAGTAGTCTTAAATATGGGGCTTCAATTTCTCAAATTCTCTCCTTTTCCAGATCCTGGTTCAGTAATTCTTCACTAATTTGTTAACTTTCCAATGATTTCATGAAGAGTTTTAGATTTTCTCAGTTTTACTAGTTTTCTCTAGTGGAGAGTTGGTCAGAATTACCTAGTTACCAATACTGGAAACCCAAACCCTGCCTTACTCCTAACTTACTATGGATAAAACACTCTAATAACCAAGATTTGCTAAGAGACAAAATGACAATGGAAATGCTAACAGTGTAACCATTACCCAGGCACCAAAACAATGAACGGAAGTGCCACTCAAGGGAGATTCCACAGATATACAAAAACACAAGTGTTGCACAGTTGAAAGTGACTCAAACAAACACTGATAACAAAATATCTTTCCAGGTAATTGGGAGTATCTCAACTTTATTTGTGAATGTTTTATATTCAGTTTATGATCACAGCATTATAGTAGCTTTTACTAGCCAACAGTGGTTGACTGTAAGAATGAAAGTCTGTGGACCTGAACAGCATTTGTCCATTCTGGGATTTGTTCTCAGCTGTCAACATGGTGAGGTTGGCTGACTCACTAGTGAGCCTCAGACCATACTTTGAGAACCACAAGTGGTAACATTTAAAATTCTTGAACCAAGGCTTTCGTGAATGGCCTTCACTAAATGTTTCTGTCCTGAGATCTCAGTCTCTCTCTGATTAGGTTACAAGATGGATTGTGTTTCTACTGATTAGATTTAAAACACCCTTCTCCAATCCACCCTAATCCTCACCGCAGCCTGATAAAATTTTTTGTTTTCAAAACCCTGAAGGCTGATTCTGCTATCTATTATGTATGGGTTTAACCAGATGAATTGTGAAGATTCCCAAGTTTTAGGGATGATTTCAACATTCTCCAGACCAGACAACTCTCAGCAAACAGCCTTAGATAACACGTTTGGATAAATACTAATCCCATTCCTTAACCTCCCCAAGCCTCAGTTTTTCTATTTTTAAATGGAAATAATAATGTTGTCCATGTGATAGGTATTTGGGGAGTTTTAAATGAGATAATGAATGTAAAAGTACTAGCACAGAGCATGGCACACTGGTAAGCATTCTATAGATAACAGGATGTCTTATGAATTTGTTAGAGGTGATGCTCTGCTCTGATAGGGTTACTTTGGAGCTGGGCAGAGGCCTCGGGTCCTTTAGACTTAGAGCAATTCCTTAAGGGAGAACAGGGATAAGTGATTAGTATTCTGTTGGGATTGCAGCATTTGATGGGGTAAGGCCCTGAATGGGCAGAGGTATCACATGGCTGTGACTAAAAACTGATATTAGAATCTCTATGTTTGAGAAGTGAAAGTTAAAACTTAAGACCAAAGAGTTAGTTATGGATCTCCAAATTAAATCGTGGGACACAGAGCTTGGTAAGACTCTGGAAAATTTTTAATTTTCTCGTATCTGCTATGTTTCCTTCTCTTACGTGTTTTCCTATTATAGCTACTGGGCACTTTCCAGTCCTTGCTCCATGAGGCTAAATGCTTTATCTGCTTTATTTCATTTAAGTGTTGTTATATTAACCTCATGTTCCATGAGAAAAAAAAAAATGGAAGTTTAGAGAGGTTAAATAATTTCTGTTCAGGTTTAAGAGGTGGATCTCTGAATACAACATATTACTTTTAGGGTTGTAGAGTTTGAGAGTTGACACTCTAAATGTCTGTTGAATTCATTCATCTAACAAACATTTAATGAGCGTTGACCACATACCCTGGTCTCTGGAGATTCAGAAATGAGTAATAAAACAGCTACATGCATTGAGGGCTAATTCCGTGTTAGGCACTTTATTTCTGTTAGTTCATTTAAGGATTGTAACCACCCTGTGAGAAGAGTATTGGTATCCTTCTTAAGCAGATAAGGGGGCTGAGACTTGCCCAAGGTCATACAGACAGGAAGTAGCAGAGCTCAGGATTTTTAACCTCCAAGTTTTGCCTTTTTGACATATTAATTTCACTCTTATTTTTTAAATAAAAATAACATTATTTTAAAAATAAAAGTAATATATACTCAAACCATTTAAACAATATGAGTGCTAATTTTCTCACAAAACTTGCCAAAACAGGGTGTTAATAATCATTAAAATTTTTACCAATGTACTTAATGATGAAAATATTATATCACAAAGTTACATTTCTTTTTTCTCATTTTACAGCTTTATGAGGTATATATTTAACATATCATAAACTTCACTCATTTAAAGTGCACAGTTCAGTGGTTATTAGCATATTCTCAGAGTTGTGCAACCATCATTACAATCTAATTTTAAGACTTTTTCAACACTCCCCAAAGAAACCCGTACTCATTAGCAGTCCCTCCACGTTTCTCACTCATCCACTCCTCAACCCCAGGTTAGTTATTTTTTATGTGTTTAACGGCCATTAGTGATTTTAGGTCTGTTTCATTTAGACTGATCTTTTATAACTGATCAGAGAAGTTCTGTAATTATCATGAAGATTAACCATTTGTCTACCATGAATATTGCGATGTTTTAAAACTATTTTCTCATTTGTTCTTTGTTGCTGGAATCTCTTACTGCACAGGTTAAATTTCTTCCAATTTTGAAAATGATTTATTGGTTTTGATTCATCATATACATTTCCCTCCTCGAATTATAAAACTTTCCCCGTGTATCTTCTGGTCTCTTATAGTATCGTGGTTTGCCTAAGCTTTCAATGCATCTTGGCTTTAGTTTGAGATAGAAAACCTATATCTTATCGATTACTACTGATTTGAAAAATTACTTTAATCAAATGGCCAAATTTCTGTTCATTTTCGAAACTGAACAGAATGACAACAGCTAACACTGAGTCCTTACAAAAAGGGTCAGCCGTATGTTCTTGGTTTAATGTTTTGCTATCGCCATCTTGAAATTCTTAATTTTGGATAAATGGCCCTGCATTCATTTTGCCCTATATCACGCAAATTTTGTACAGGTCCTGCTTACAAGTCCAGGTACTGTACTAAGCTCTTCATATATATTACTCTACTCGATCCTCACGGAATTTTGTTAAATAGCCGTTTTCATTTTCTTCTTCATTTTACAAATAGGGCAATGGGGTCAAAAGAGATTAAAAAAGGCCACAGAGCCAAAAAGCTGCAGCAAAGGAGTTTGATCCCAGCACCTGTCACGTCAGAGCCTTGTGAGGAAGCGTCCATTAATGCTACAGCCTGTTACAATCTGGGGATGAAAGTGGGAGGGTGCGGGGGCAGGAGGTCTCGTGTATAAACTCGCTAGTCCACTCTGTGGAGCGGCACTGCCCTGACCCCGCGTGCCCGGCTCCGTGTTGCGCGCTCCTGTGCAGACCCGCGGACCCCGCCTTCTACCCGCGGCGGCGCGTGCTCGCTTAGCGGGCGGGCACTCCCGCGCGCAGCGGTTGTGTTGCCTGCGAGTTTCCCAAGTTCACACAGGCCCCGGGTTGGCATGGCAACCAGGCAACCTGTTCCAGAGCCGCCTGCCTTCTCCGCACATGCTGCCGCCACCGCCGGAGCCTGGGGCCAGAGCCTATCCCATGATGCACCGCGCCAGCTCAGTCCCCAGTGGGCCGCCATGTTGTTGGAGTGAAAGGTAAGGGGGAGCGAGAGCGCTGGAGAGAGAAGATCGGGGGGCTGAAATCCATCTTCATCCTACCGCTCCGCCCGTGAGTATCCGCACCCCGCCGGCCCCAAACGCTGCTCCAGACCCCCAGCTAGCAGATTGTTCCTTTGTATTGGTGTTTGATTACGGTTGCGGGGGCGAGAAGGGCTTTGGAAAAGCCGCCGGGGCCCTGGCTTAGGCTTCTCACTCGCTGTTCCTCGTACATGTTTTGGAGTCAGCAGCAAGGCCCCTATTGTTATCAAAGGAGGGAGGGGGTGGGGACGGGGTCGAAGCGAGGAAAATGCCGGGGGTTTAGGCCCGGGCCCAGGGCATAGACATGCCTCTACATTTCTGCTCGACCCCATTCGAACACGAAGATTGATGTTGCCATTCGGGTTGCTTTTTTGATGGGTTTGCGAAGCCTTGAGTCTTCTGTGTGGCCATGAAGTGTAATTCTGTGCCACTCTGGATTTCTTTGACTTCTTGAGATTCCGTGGCAGCGCCGAAGCAAGAGGAACAATAAATCGCTTCAGAAGCCGCCATGGCCCTTTTCTGCAGGCGAGACCCGCCATGGGGGAACTTTGCGAGCCTTAAACGTGGAGAAGTGGCGATCAGGAAGTTTCAGATCGCTTTTTAGGCTCCTGGATGCTTGTGGCCTTTTGTTTCCGTGAGAGCTTGTGTTTTTGGTGGGTTCTTCCTCTTTGAGCCTCCCTGTGTTGATGCGTGTCTGTCTTAACTCAAAGAAGGGTTCACCCCTCGATAGTAGGAAAACATACACAATACTAGATAGTTTTAGTCCTTACAAATGTTCTTGGTAAACATAGATCATTTGTTATACTTGTCAGTACCACTCCCACGTCGCGAGGAATCTGCTCTGTAACTTTTTTCCCCCCACTTTAGGTCCCCCCCAAAAAACACAAACACCGCACACACACACATACACTCGCGCACACACACAACCATTATCAGGAAAGGTTTTCTCACCGTAACTTGGAGGATTGTTACTTTTCATTGTTCAATTAAGAAGATACTTTTTAATTGTCGATATTAGTTCGTTCACTTCCTACTCGTCCTGGGGTTAAGAATGTGAGTTTAAGAGGCTTTTGGGGGGTTCTGTTTTAAAGTTAGTTACTTCTGAAGCAATAGGCTTGTACCTTTAGCTTTTTGTTTGTTTTATGAAAACAAAAACTCACCAAGACAAACCTCCAAGATATGTGACTCCTTATGTAGTTTTAGTAAGCAAAATACTAAAACATTTGACCCATTGCTAATTTTAACTTTATAAAGCACTCTTGGGGGCTGTTGATTGTTTATCTGGCTTTTTGGGAAATAGTCACTGGATTCTGAACTTTGAGTTAGTATTTTGCCGTAGCCACAAGTGAATTCATTTTCAAGGCCACAGCTTTTTGAAGTTGGATTTGAAGTTTAGTTTGGTTTGAGATGAACTGGTTTAAAATAAATTTGTGACTATAGAAATTTATTTTCAGCATGGTAAAAATAAACTTTAAAAACACTATTTTATTAAAAAAAATGAGCTGTGTAGTTAGGTTAAACCGTGTTTTTTTGATAAATAAAATTTATTAGTGATATAAAAAAATGCTTTGATGTAAACAGTTTGAAAACTGGAAGAGTAACTAAAATCAGCATTTATTTCTAGTTGTTTAAGATACTGATTGAAAAAAATACTGATTTTTATAATGTGCCATTTGTAAAAGTCATATTTCAAGTGCTACTACACACATTTTAATGGGCTGAGAGTTCTTTAAAAGGCATCAGCAATATGGTTGTTTTCTAATATTTAAGTGACTGATTTTAAAATTTTTGTACTGTAGTTGCCAACATATTACAAAACCACCCAAGACACATGTTAACTGCTTAGGTATTTGCTCACTTTTAAACTGTCCCTTCTGCCAGGTTTTCTCTTGTTTGAGAAACTGCCTTGCCTCATTAGGTAAAGCAGGAAGTCTCAGGGCATACAGATAGCTTTACAAAAACCAATTGTTTTGTTTGAACATTTTTATAGGAATTTCCCCCCCTCCCACCCCGCAATCCCTTGTTAGAATGAAGTTGTGTTCCCGGTGTTTCAGTGGCAAACACATTTTAAATGTGGAAATTCTTTGCTAGATAAGTATTATGGCAAATCTTTTATTTCAGAAAGATTGCATTTGCTGTTTTAGGAATCCTCAGAGACTGGAGTACCTACCATTGCCTTAACTGGTGGTAACTGAATTCTGGGGCTTCTCAGCATGGTGACTTTAAATTTACCAAAAACTCGTATATCTATGATTTTATTTTGATTAAAATACGAACTTGTGAGTCATAGAGGGAAGGATTTTTTTCCATATTCTAGATGAGGAAACAGGCTTAAAGACGTTGCTAGTTTATTGGTAGAACTTGGGTTTTGGGACTTTTGGCTTGTTCTAGAACGAAGACTGTTAAATTGATACTCCCTTGTAGAAAATGGAACTGGCTACTGTTGGTAATAAAGGCAGTGAGTTCTTTTGAAAATCAAACCGGAAGACATTAGGTTGGTTAGCACTTTGCAAAGACCTGTGGTGAACACAGCTATGACTTTCTGATTTTGGCACTTAAGCATAAACACAATTCAATTCATGAAAGCAGAAACAGGTCTAGAGAGCTAAACTAACCCAGTACCATAGTAAGGTTCTGATGGATTGGAATTGTTAACTGAGACAGACATTTCCAAATTAGGCTTTGAACAAATTACAAATTCCTTTGTGTCGTCTTCTGGCTTCAAAACATGAATTAGTTGTGAGAAACAAATGCTTTCTCAGGAGGTTTAATTCTATAAAAAAATAATAGATTTCTCATAAATCCTGTGTCTGTTTTTGAAATGTCACAGTTGGGCTGGGGAGAGATAAGGTATTTGTAGCAGTGGACTGACTGTTAGGTTGATAGCCTGAAATTAGACTCTGCTGGCTATGGACAAATGTGTTCTAATTGGTCACTGATCGATTACTTTGTAGCAATTTTTTAAAGCACCTACAGGGTGACAAGTGTTCTCTTATGTACAAACATAGTTTTTGATTTTAAGAAACTTTGTTTCATAGTAACATTTTGGAGATTCTCTTCTAGAGAAGAAAGAGTAGCAGATGCAAGTGAGAGAAATAGTACTTGTGTTGATTTACTGAGGCATAGCAAGAGGTTGGAGTTCATAGAAAGAACTAGCCTTGAGTATAAAACATTTAGATTTGAATTCCTTCTGTACAACTCATTATGTGAATGGCCTTGAGTACATCACGTAACTTTTTTTTTTTTTAGCATTTTCATCTATAAAATAGGGACGGTTAGATAATGTTTGCAATATATTTCCCACATAGTTATTATTGTGTTGAGGCTTTTTTTTTTTTCTTTTTTTACAGTGAGATTTTCTACACTAGTAAAGTGTTTGGTCTCATCTTGTTTATAGGAGTCAAAGAACTAATGGAATAATAATGTGATTACAATTATAATTGTAAATTATCGATAAACACTTTGAATTTTTCCCCCCATCATTGGCAGCTGAGGAAAAGTTTCAGGCTAGGAACACTTGCTGTTCCTGGTCAGGGGGTCTTATTGTTTCTTCGGAGAGCATCCTATGAATATGTTGGACATTTTTAAGAGTCTTTTGAAGTTTTAGACAATCTGAGTCATTGCTAATTATATGTGGGGTTTGGATTTTTGTTTGGCTTGTTGCCATATATCTGCTTTAGTTGTAAAGTGATATTTTATAAAGCTCTTGTTTAAAAAGTATCTGCCACAGTTGTCTTAAGGTGTAAATAATTTGGATAGAGGACTGATTGAAGTCTAATTCTATAGTTAACTTTGATAACAACAAGTTTCTCTGAAGTTGCTGAATTGAGTCTTGATTTTAATACTTTAAGTACCTCCCACTAACTACATTTGTTTCCATACACAGACACACACTCAGCAACTTAAAAATGGAGTTTTTGGTTTAGAAAATTATGTATTATAAAACATTTAGATGCTTGGTATATACTAGTTGTAGACGATGTATTTTAAAAGATGTGGCACTCATTTTTATCTTAGTGTATATCAGGTTTTTCAAAATGCAAATTTTAACCGTATGTAACCTGTTTGTCCTTAGGTGTTGGTGGAATGAGCGTTGCATGTGTCTTGAAGAGAAAAGCAGTGCTTTGGCAGGACTCTTTCAGCCCCCACCTGAAACATCACCCTCAAGAACCAGCTAATCCCAACATGCCTGTTGTTTTAACATCTGGAACAGGGTCGCAAGCGCAGCCACAACCAGCTGCAAATCAGGCTCTTGCAGCTGGGACACACTCCAGCCCTGTCCCAGGATCCATAGGAGTTGCAGGCCGTTCCCAGGACGACGCTATGGTGGACTACTTCTTTCAGAGGCAGCATGGTGAGCAGCTTGGGGGAGGAGGAAGTGGTGGAGGCGGCTATAATAATAGCAAACATCGATGGCCTACTGGTGATAACATTCATGCAGAACATCAGGTAAAAAAAGTTCACTATTTTATAATTGCTGTCCACTAGGGATATATGCTTTCAGTGAATGTCTTTAAAAGTCTAAATTGCTAATTGCATTTGGTCTAAACTGAATAGTCACTTGTTTTAAAGTATGATTGTTTTAACATTGTCACTGGATCATTTATTCTGGTGCTAAATAGTAAACGATCAATTCATTTTTAAAAGACTTAAGGTTGTTTTAATGTGCACATTGCATTTTTGGGTATACTTTTTCTTTTTCTTTTTTTTTTTTTAGCAAAGAATACTTTTCCCCCTTGACATATATTCTTTCAAGAACTCTTTGGGTTGTTTATAGGCCAGATACATATTTTAGAGCCTTTCCTGTGGGTGTGGCTGACTTGTTTTTAAGATGTTATAGTTGAAAATAGTAGGAGGTTGATAACAGATCAGCTGTTCAAGTGAAATTTATTTGAAATGGGACTGATATGTCTGTTTTGTGTCAGAGAGGAGTGGTTGTGGCTTTTAGGTTTTAACCAACTTCGTCCTCTTGTTCCAAGCACTTGTTTCATTCAGTTAATTTTAACATACTTATTTTTACTAATCCAAAACCATAGCTGGAACCACAGCATATTTTACTGAGAAGAGTTTAGCCTGGTCTTTGTTCCCTAACTTCCTGATAGTGATGAAATGATTAGAATGTTTGAATCAGGCTATTCTTTGAAATTAGGCATAGGTTGAATTTGCAAAAGTTCATTTTGTATTGCTGCTATTTGAGTACTGACTAGCAAAAAGAACTGACATCTTTCATTGGGCCTCTTCTGCTTCTGTTCTGCTTCAGAAATAAACCAAGCACAAGCACACCTGCAAATCTGAATTCTTGTGCTTCCCCTGACCCTTTATAAAGGTAGCTCATGTAACATAGCTCTTTACCATGGTAGAAATGAAAAGGTAGAATTTATCTTCTTATTTAACAGAAATTTATTGAGCACATTGATCATAGGTCTTTAGTTTACTGGAACAATCATCAATATTAATGCTTCATGAACACCCACTATGTGTAGGTGAAGGATACTAAGAAGTATTAGGTACTAGGGAGCTTTTTGTGCACTTAGGGCACTTTTAATTTTTATTAGGTACCAATTAAGGCACTGTATTTGTTTCCTATTTGCTTGGAGTTTTGGAGGTGGGATCAAATTTTATTCATCTCATTATCTTAGTTCCTGTAATTTGTCATAGAGACGCAGAAGAAATTTATTGAATGCATGAGTCCCTTATACTTTGGTCTTGTATTGGGAGAAAAGGTCATTGTCACAAAGATATGGACCTTGAATACCAGGCTAAGATTTAATTCAGTAGGCGGCAGGGTTTTTGAGTGTGTCTGTATGGAATTGTTTTTATCCAGTGGTGTTTTGGGAAAATTGATTTGGCAATAAGAGATTGGAGTGGGTAAGGGCTGAAACTAACTAGATTACTAACAGCCTTGGTGTGAGCAATAGAAAAGAAAGTATGGCACAGAGAAATGCACAGATTGAATGGTGATTGAATTAGAAATCTTAGGTCCCTGGGAAAATGAATAGAGGGAAAGGAATATAGAGTGGAGTATGGTTTGGGGACAAGGTAGTTAAATTTGGTAGTATATATGTTGAGTTTGAGAGTTTGAGATTTAGGCAGGTGTACATGTAGAGAGGGAGAGACCAAGGTAGGAGGTGTTTGGTTTGGTCTGTGTGGTGGGTAAAAGTAGAAAGCCTGTAATCTTTGCCTTATTTGGCAAACCATTGTTTAAAATTTGTATATCTACAATGTCTTGTGTTGGCTTTCCTAATGATAGGCTGAATCAAGTTGCTTGCCTGTCTTTGGAAGGCGGGCAACTCAAACTCTGGATTATTCTCGGCAGAACTCTTAAGATCTACAATCTGGTTGTGTGTTTGTCAATAAATGTTTATTGAAGGCTTATTTGGAGCTCTGTCTGTTATGATCTCTATCATAGAGAATCACATCTGACTTATTGAGCATATTTATCCGGGTCAGTTAGCAAACCAGAGTCAATGTTAAATGGCAAAACCTGTTCCATACCCAGGAGGCCTAAACCAGTGACCCAGCTTGGAATTAGACTCATCACAACACAATTCATTTGGGCTGGGCACATGATATAATGAACAGCTTTAGGGAATTGAAGGTAGTTGCTGTGTTGCAGATGTTGGCCACCCACAAATTACCTCTCACAGTCATTATAGTGTATTATAATTTATCGATTTTGGTGTTGAGCTCATCTCCTGGACTAAACTATTCTAGGGCAGAGGCTGCTTTGTTTTTCATGCCCCTTTCCCAAGAGTTGTCTGAAATTTTTGTGTTGCTTGAGGGAAAGCCACACCAAGATCTTCAGATTTGCACCAGGCAGGTAAAGTGGATCCGAGAGCTCAGCTATCCCTCTGGGAAACACATGGCAACAGCGGGTGGATGGTGAGTGTAGTGTAGCTGAGGAGCAGAGAGTTATATCTCTAAGGTGGAGAATCACTGCCCTCATCAGCTACTGTTAATGATTTGAGTAGGAGGGTGTCTGATCTCTTAGGTGGGAGTGCAAACGAGGTTGAGGGTCACTGGTGCTGATAGATACATTTACTGAGCGTTTATGTTCTAGGCACTGGTCTATATAATTCCTGTGTTTAATCCTGGGAACAGTCCCATGTGGGAAATAATATTCTTTTTTGAGAGATGAGAAATGAAGCTTAGTTACCAGGTAGAACCTAGTTTTGAAATCAGGTCTTTGTGATTCCATTACCTATGCACTTTATGTATTTCTGCCTTCCTAAGAGTAGTTCTAGCCTTAAAAACTAAACCAAACCAAATAATTGCAACAAAGTAGCACATTCTAAGGTAAAATAATTATTTCTCTTGAATTTTAGAGATGATAAACTTGATAATAAGGAGGCGAATATAAATAATGTTGACTTTTCTCCTATAAATGCCCCTCCCCCAAGGGCAACATTAAAGTTCTTTCTTTTTTTCAGTTTTATTTTTATTACATGTGTATTCTAAGTAGTAATTATTGAAAACATATCGCTATTGGGACAGAATGACTATAAAGTGATCCTTTAGCCAGCACATTCTGCCATACCACTGGGCTGTTATTCCTTTTTGGTGGGCCTATTTCCTTAGCCTTTTTTTTTAAAGGCCTTTTGGTATACTGGAACAGAATTTAAGATCAGATCATTGGAATGCTTTTACCAGTGAGCTGGTGAAGTAAGGAATATCAGGTTGTGATGCCAGCCAGCAGTGTTGTAGGGAAGGGAACTATTGTGCCAGGTACTCTATATTCATTTCTCTCATTATTCTCATTTATGAGCAATCACTTTTTTATACTACATTTGTTTTTAAACCTTTTTTGAAGTTAGGATTTTTCTGCCAGATGTAGAAATTCTCTTGGCGTCTGAGTTTCCCTGTATTAATAGTGAATTCTTCAAGCTGTGCCTAAATAAATATATGACTGATTTTTTAAATAGTTGAGCTTTGTTTTCTAAGTATGAAATTTGACAGATAATTAGATCGAGGACCTTTAAATAAAAGTTTAAAACATTAACAGCTTGAACATGTGTTACGGTAATATGCTGTACTTTAAGAATCTTGCAAACAGATTTAAACTTAGGTGAAATTTAGAAACTAAAATAATATTTTGAGGTGAGGAAGGGTGTTCAGATTTGTTTGTATATTTGTTTTAAACTGTAACATTTACAAACTATGGCCTGTATTTATTTTTTTCTACATTAAGAATATAAATATATTATCACTTGTTTTAATACATAAAATTATTGTACTTGGTATAGTCAGAAATTTCAGAGGCCTCCCTGCCCCCATTTTTGGGCCAAATTGAGGTCTTTGGATGGGAGTGAGGAAAAGGAGTCCCATGGAAAATTTCTTTTGCCCGTTAAATTTACCTGTAGTAAATAAGACAGTGGATATAGATCAAGATATTACAGAACACTAGAAAACACATCTTCCTAAGTGAATAATATTATTTAAAATGTTACCTACAAAAAATTTACATATTTTTTAACAGTAATTTATATAACTTTTTTTTCCAGAATAGTTTTAAAGGTTTTATCATGCAAAACCCAAGGTCACATCTTTGATTTGTTGTGATAGTTTTATTCTCTTATTGTGAAATCTGTTTTCTCTGTAAACTTCTGTGAGATAAAGTGGGTGATGAAATAGGGTGAACATTTTAAGGTCAGTCAGATCAGTTGAACTATGGCCTCTCTACCGGATTTTAAGGGGCAGAGATAGGTAGAAGCTTAGCTTTGGAAGAAAGGAAATTTAGAGGACAACTCCACAGAGGTTTCTTACTTTTGTTTGTTGTCTTTTGGTGTTAGAGTGTATCAGTATTCACCATAGATTGACAGCTGGTGGGAGATAATTCTCGATAGCCAGGCAGAATTCTGTGGATCAATCTTCTCTTTGGCTCTATTTGTACCCCCTTTTTCTTTCACTTAGTATTGCCATCTTCTAGTGATATCCTGACATCCACTTGACATGTCTATCCTTCTTGCTCCAATAGCTGTGAGATAATCCTTACACTTTGCAATTAACAAATACTGTGTTAAACTGGGAGGGAGCCCAAGTATTCCCACACTGGAAGTTTTGTCATTCTCTAAACATCCTTTTCTGTTTCCCCTTCGGAATGACTGTTAGACCATGTGTCTTGAGTCTTTTTCTGGGTAGATTGCTTAGATGCCTCAGCATTTGGGCCAGTGGCATTTAGTTAACATCATACAATAAAGCCGAGTAATCCATACTTTTATATTTTGTTTTCTCCTACACCTATATTTTTTAGAACCTTTAAAAAATTATATTTGGCGTTCACAAAGACTTCACTTCATGCACATCAGTAGATCTTCTTTGATTAACTTAAATAATTATTTTCCAATTTTAAGAATTAGGTTCCGGTGTTAAAAAAAAGTATTCATTAAGATGCTGTGTGTCATTTGATTGTATGTGCCTTATAGATGGCAACTTGCAGAGGTTTATGATAT